TGGGTTGTACAACAGGTTAGACCAGAGTCGGTGGGCGGTAGGCCTCGACCTGTATAACCTACCTCCTTGCCTGTTTCCACCTCACCGCCCCCCCCCCTCCTCTCCTCCACTTTCACGCCTTCGTCAACCTTCCTTTGCTAGCCACCCTTTTCCTAGTCTTCATCTTCACAGCCCTCCTCCTCCACCAGTTTTCTCCCTCAACCTGCCTCCACTAAGCACCCTCCTCCACCAGTTCTCTCCCTCAACCTGCCTCCACCAACCGCCCTCCTCCACCAGTCCTGCTTCACATAGACAATTGGAAGGGGACTATACAGGTACGAGAACAAGGGGGACAAAGATGAAATACCCAAATGGGCCAGAGTCACTGTAAATAGTTTGCTCAGTTTTAAGATAGTGAATAAATGGAATGCACTAAGATGACGTGTAGGGAAACGTACACAGGTGACAGAGCCCAGAAGCTCTGGAACCTGTACAACAGTCAACTGCAGGGTGAGAGGCGAGATCAAAGAGCTGAAGCTCAACCCCTATAAGAATCAGTTATTCTAAAAAAGAATGTTAAACAATCCAGGTCAACATGGTTTTAGAGTAGGAAGATCTTGTCTTTCACAACTAGGTGATCACTGTGACAAAATTAAGAATCAAAATTTTGATTCCAATAGGAATCAAAAGTTGTGTATTCTGTACTTGCATAAAAACCAAACAAAACTGCAGATGTTGCGCACACAAATTTAGCAAAAAGCTTGTGATAACTGTATCAATGGAAAAATAGCTTATCAAATAAAAGCCGAAGAAATAACAGGTAAAGTAGATGGTTTTTCTGTTTCCTAACTAACAGGTTACAAAGAATGTCAGTACAGCAAACACAGTCCAACCTGAGCGGTGAGCGAAGCGTGCTTCCTCAAGGTGCGGCCCTCACACCCTTGTTCTTCATCATCCTCCTGCAGCAGCAATAATAATAATAATAATAATAATAATAATAATAATAATAATAATAATAATAATAATAATATTTTATTCACAAGATATGCATATATACGAATATAATACAAATGCATATGTGAAGGTATGGGAGTTACATATTAAAATAAAGCCACTGCTACGGAAGGCGTTATGGACAAAACTTAAGAATAATTCAGTGAAAAATAATATAGGTACAATGGGGTAAACGGTGAGAAATACGGTGATAAACTAAAAATAAAATAATACTGTGATAACGGTGATAAACAGTTATAACGGTGGTGATAAACAGAAATAAAACGGTGATAAACTAAGCTAATGCATGTGATAGCCTCAAGAAATTTAACAAATGATGTACAATATAACGGTGATAATGATGATGGCAGGCATAGACGACAAGACATCACAGTAGGAGTAAAAGAACCCCCCACAACCCCTCCCCATAAAACACGCTTCCCTCCTCCAGTTACAAATAATAGAGGTCACCTCTACACAATGTATATAAGAAAATGGCGAGGGGTTGCCGAAGACATTAAAAAAAAATTAAGATAATTAGCGGACTTGCCATCTACTAAATTTAGTAAATAGTGCGCTAATTTGCAGCCAACATATTGCACCCGTCATCCATCCCCTTGTTGGGCTGTACAAATAGCTTCCAGTTAGCCGCTTGCCCACCTCATCCATTCAGCTGGTGAAGTGCACCAATGACGTCAAGTTAGATGCTTGCCCACCTTGTGCCAAAGAGACACCGGGGGCACCGATCCAGTGCCAGGTAAGTCCACTACGGGCTCACCGTAGCCCGTGCTACTTGCCCCGCTCATGTGCCAGGTAAGTTACCGGCTCACCATAGCCCGTAAACTACTTGGAACTTATGTTCCGAGTAGCTGAATCTAAACCAACCAATCAACCATCTTGTGCCTCATTCACGCACCTATACAGGCTGTGTGAAGGCGGCGGCGGCTCTACTCTCCCAATTGTTTTCTCTCTCTCTTCTCTCTCTCTCTCTCTCTCTCTCTCTCTCTCTCTCTCTCTCTCTCTCTCTCTCTCTCTCTCCTCTCTCTCCCCCCCCCCCCCGGTGCAGTATGTAGAGAGGAGCTGCCCCAGGACAGGTGTGGGCTGGGCGTTGACTCCACTTACCACTTTCTTGCCCCCACACCACCCGGTTCTTCCAGCTCCCCTGCTCCTTGTGGTGGTGCGAGGGTAGGGCTTACTTGCCGGTACCTAACAACTCAGTGACTTTGAGGAAGTGAGGTCTAGCTCTTGGGCCGCACCTGCTGGCTCTTGTCGTAGCTATTGTAGTGTAGCTTAGCTATTCTGACGTTCTAAAGCTGTGTCACATGTGGCCTTCAAGTTGTGAATGGAGGTGGTTTACACAATATTTTCCTTTCAGTGCATTCCACTTGACCGTCCGTACAGGGTACGAATATTTTCGCAAATTTCTTGCTCATTTGCGTCTCTCAGATACCATCAGTGTCCTCTTGTTCTACTGTCTATCACCACAAAGAGGCAGTTTTTGTCCACCCTGTCTATTGCTCCACACTATCTTATACAAATACAAATACAAATATTTATTCAGGTAAAGTACATACATACAAGGTGAGATACAAAAAGTTGAAGGATTTATAGATAGAGCTAGTACATACAATGCCTAAAGCATTTTATGTACTAGCATTGTATATGTTGTTAATATATCCCCTCTTGTTTCTTGTTCCCTCTGAGGTTGCCTTGCCTTACATTGATTCCGAGGATGAACTTCCCCGCGACCCGGTTTCTGGCCAGACCTCCTGGTTGGTGGTCTGGTCTACCAGACTATTGTATGTGGCTTCTCGCAGCCTGACGTATGAATCACAACTTGTTTCATCGGGTATCATTTGGAAGTGTGTATAAAGTTATCTTTTTAAACACCTTGAGAAGTCTGCCAGTTATGCCCCTTACGTTTAAGAGGAAGAGTGCTGAAAATTCTTGAGCCTTTAATGTTTATGTTGACCAGACCACACACTAGAAGGTGAAGGGACGACGACGTTTCGGTCCGTCCTGGACCATTCTCAAGTCGATTGTCTTTAATGTTTATAGTTCTCTCTGTGTGCCTATTGCACCTCAGCTTGTCAACGTGGGCTGTTTTGTACAGCATGCCATACCTTCTGGTCTCGTGTCGTGTTGTTTCCGTGTGAAAATTTGGAACCAGTTCGTCTAATATTTTCCAAGAATAAATTATTATGCGTCTCTCTCGTCTAGACGTCGTCTTCAAATAATATTAAGAGCCTGTAATTTTTTTTCCGTAATGAATATGGAATTCCAGGACTCAGGGCTTGATGCCGAGTCCATGAGCATACTGTCTATGGCTATTTCCAAGTCCAATGGGGTTAGGGTGACAGCTGATATATTATTTGGTCTTGGTATAACATTCATGAAGAATTCATTTTGGTTATCTATCTTCAGTGTGTGTAGGGGTTCACTGAAAACAGAATCGTACTGTATCCTCAGTATTTAACTCGTTTCTTTGTTGTCAGCTGTGAAAATTCCAGCTTCCTTGCTCAGGAGCCCAATTTTAGTTTTTGAGGCAGAGTGCCCTGTTCTGAATCATTAATTGATAAAGATTAAGCCACCCAAGAGGTGGCAAGATTTTGCATACGACAAAAGTATTTTGGATTCCTCTCTTATGTCACTGATGGCCGTTTGCTGTCGTTGCCTCTCCTGAATTTTATGATTCTTGTAGCCATAGTTCAATCGTTTCTATTTCTCTACATATTTATTGTCGTTCTTGGGATAGGGTTTTTTTTCGCCTATAGAGAGTACGCAGTTGTCGTTCCATTTTTGTTTTGGCCGAAACGTCGTTCCTTCATTTTCTGACGTGGGTTGATCACCATCTTGAGGTTATCTTGAGATGATTTCGGGGCTTTTAGTGTCCCCGCGGCCCGGTCCTCGACCAGGCCTCCACCCCCAGGAAGCAGCCCGTGACAGCTGACTAACACCCAGGTACCTATTTTACTGCTAGGTAACAGGGGCATAGGGTGAAAGAAACTCTGCCCATTGTTTCTCGCCGGCGCCCGGGATCGACCCCGGGACCACAGGATTACAAGTCCAGCGTGCTGTCCGCTCGGCCGACCTGCTCCACCTCATGTCCTCTTCACCGTGTCTTCAGCCATATTATTGCGACTCATCGTCTGCATTTGCATCGTGTTGTATTTTTTCTAAGTGGTATGTGGCTTGAACATATTTCTAGAGCTACAGAGCCAATTTTTTTCTAGGCATTGATTTAGGTTTACATTTTCTAGCTGTTCTTCCCAGCTTATTTATGTGAGGTTTTGCTTTATTACTTGCAAGTTAATCACTGCGTGACGGGAGATATCTCCCGTGGTCTATTACCTATCCTTGTCTGTACTTCAATTAGGTTGTGATCTGAATAACAGGTCTTTGTAATCATTATGCTCCTGATCAGTTCATGATTTGTGAAAATAAGGTCTATTGTGCTTTCTAATTGGTTCTTCTGTTTGCTGGTTTAAGGGAAATCTGTCACACATCCTTAAGAGGTCACTTGTGTGTACTCTGTTCATTTAGACTTCTTCCTGAGATTCATTTAGACTTCCTGCCCTTCCCAACTTGGTGCAGTACCTCCTGGGCGTACCGTCCCCCTTGGACGTGCCGTCCCCCTGGGCGTGCTGTCCCCTGGGCGTGCCGTCCCCCTGGACATGCCGTCCCCCGTTCCAGTCTTTCTTGCGACTCCACACGTGAATGTGTAGTCCTCGGACATCCCTCAGTGTCTAGGACAAACTCTCCGTATTTTCGTGCCGGGGTGAACATTGCCCGATAGGTTTTGTTGGTGCAGCAAGGAGGTGGGTGTCCTTGGCGGGGCGTCGAGCGGAACACCTCCGGCAGGAGAGGTGCAGTTCAAGAGCGTTTCTCAACTGTACAACCTCACTTGGGTCTGGTTTTTATAGTCTCTGATGTGTTCACGTTCTCCTCAATTTTATTCTTGCAAGTCGGCTGCGATTTATTAAAGTAACGTGGTACTGGTTGTTATAGTGTCAATGATATACGCTCACCTCATCCTTGGGCTTATCTAGGAGGTTGCCCAAGGATCTGCTAGTTATAGGAGCCGTGGAGGAGCCGTGGAGGTTGTAGCTGGGGTGTGACTTTTGAAGCGCCCATGACTGGTCAAAAGCGGGAGGCAGGATAACGTCGTACCATTCTCGAGGAATAAGGCTTATGTCTAGAGGGGCCGCAGAGCCTTATTTCCTCCGATTTAATTTGTGTTGGAAAGGGACGCTCAGGTTGCGAACCTAACAGCGAGGTTCCCTGGTTACGTCGTTAGATATATTTTCCACCAAAGTGGCAGCTCTGGTTGCTTCAAGACTGCCCAAGTTTTGTTTTAAATTACTTTTCAAGTTGTGTAAATTATCAGCGTTTGGTGAAGGTACCTCGGTGTGGTGCGACATTTCCAGAATTATGCTTAAAATTGTCCCCTTATATGAAGTTGTTTAGAAATAAACATTGAATTGTTCCTCAATAGCGTAGGTCTGATCCAGTGTGGGTAAGCCAGCGTGGGACACCTCCGGGGGTGGGTAAGCCAGCGTGGGACACCTCCGGGGGTGGGTAAGCCAGCGTGGGACACCTCCGGGGGTGGGTAAGCCAGCGTGGGACACCTCCGGGGGTGGGTAAGCCAGCGTGGGACACCTCCGGGGGTGGGTAAGCCAGCGTGGGACACCTCCGGGGGTGGGTAAGCCAGCGTGGGACACCTCCGGGGGTGGGTAAGCCAGCGTGGGAACGCTCAGGCGTGGGTATACAACCACATGAGCGATTCACAGCGGCGAGTCCCGAGCCATCCCTGGCATTTGGCGGAGGTTTTCTCTCGAGGAATTTCACTTCTTGGGGCGTGGGTCTGGAGGCGGGGATCTGGAGGCGTGGGTCTGTGGGCGGGGGTCTGTGGGCGGGGGTCTGTGGGCGGGGGTCTGTGGGCGGGGGTCTGGGGGCGGGGGTCTGTGGGCGGGGGTCTGGGGGCGGGGGGTCTGGGGGCGGGGGTCTGGGGGTGTTGGGTGTACGCTGTGCAGTGACGTCAATTGTACGACTCTGATTGGCCAGCCATGATGTCATCACCGGTCACTGGCTACCGTACGTAATAATAAGAATAACAAATAATAATAATAATAATAATAATAATAATAATAATACGATTCTGCTTATTACCCACGACATTGGTTATCATGTATAACACAACAACCGTTTATTGATGTATTATGTATTGTTGATCTGTAGTAACGTGAGAATTGTTTATGTAATAAACTAAGATGAGGTCTGATAAAGACCTTTTGTGCCCTCTGTAATGCTTTTTTGCGCTACCGCTCACAGGATGAGTATGGGGGTACAACAATAAACACAATCAAATCAAATGTGACCAGAGTTAAGACTCCTGATATTCCTGAAACCTCGGTCAGTCGCTGACGAACCGTTTGTCAGTCCTGGGGACGCAGCCTCGTGCCAAGATTCTGCACCTTTTACAGGTTTTTGTGTTGAAGTCTCGAGGGTGTGGGGGGGGGGATGCAGGGGCTGGTCTCACGAAGGTTGGGTACAGTATTCGACCTGACGTTTTGTTACGTCATTGTAAGTTCTGTATTCTGTAAATTGTCATTTCATTTATGTACGTGTGCTCGCGCTTACATAATTGTTCTTACCGATGTCCTTAGAGGGGGGTTAAATCTAGCTCCAGGACCCCACTTCATAGCTGTATAACTTGCCGCCTATATAATTCCCGAGTAGTGCTGTCCTATACAGTTACAGCACCGCTCCAGTGCCTGGTAAGTCCACTACGGGCTCACCATAGCCCGTGCTACTTGGAACGCTTTGTTTCCAGTAGCTGATTCTACAAATAATAACAACAGCTGTCCTATTTTGTTTTGAAGTTATGGATCGAGGTGGCTTCCACGACCTCTGCTTCGAGCGCGCTCCACCACCCGTGTCTGTGTTTGTGTGTGTGTATTTACACAATCTGTGAGTTGGAAAGTGTGTGTGTGTGTGTGTGTGTGTGTGTGTGTGTGTGTGTGTGTGTGTGTGTGTGTGTGTGTGTGTGTGTGTGTGTGTGTGTGTGTGTGTGTGTGTGTTTACTCACCTAGTTGTGCATGCGGGGGTTGAGCTTTGGCTCTTTGATCCCACCTCTCAACTGTCAATCAACTGGTGTGTGTGTGTGTGTGTACTCGCCTAGTTGTACTCACTTTGTGCTTGAGTGTATGGTTTTAACCTTCAATAGCACAAAACACAGGATATCGGACTTTGTGATATCTTTATTTGAAGATGTGTATGGATGCCGACTCGCAATGTCTTGTGAATGTGAGTCGGTGAGTGAGTGAGAGTGCACGAGAGTGCAGGAGTGAGGCAAGACGGGTGTTTGAGGAGCTCAGGGGTGAAAGCACTCGAGGGAAAGGCAAGAGAGTTCAAAAGTATCGGACAATGTGTGTGTGTAAAGTTCTGAAATAAAGTTCCCAGAAGATTGGCAACGTTGTTAGTGTTAAGAACTGCATTTGTCAGATATATTTGTCTGTGTCTCTCCTCATATTTGTCTGTGTCTCTCCTCATATTTGTCTGTGTCTCTCCTCTCTTTCTCTCTCTCTCTCTTTTTCCTCCCTCCTGGTATATAGATATTACCATGAAGCCCGGCCGCCAGGATAATCCCGAGAGCCGTCCCCGCCACCGTCCTCACCCCGCTCGGCCAACCACTATCTGCACCATACATCGTCTCAGATTCCCACTATTATGTAATGTGGGAACGTAGTTTCGCCAAGGTAATATATCAGTAATTGATTAATCCGGCGTCAACCCGTTAACTTTTGTTTTATGTCTTTTATTTTTATTTTACGTTATTTCTTTTTTTTTTAGGCTTGAACAGTTTTGTATTTGTTAACTTCTCTCTCGCTTCCTGCCTTCACTGTTTCTCTCTCTCTTTCATTTATCTTCCTTCGCCTCATTCCCTTCTCCGTTCTTTCAGTGATTTCCTGCCCTTCTTCCCCTCAGTGCCTCTCGCGGCAGGGCAGCAGGAGCCACGAAGGGTCATAACGTGGGGTGATGTGCGTGCCTGGTGGTCCCTGTGGGGGGCCGGGAGAGGCGGATTGGCGCCCATGTTCTTGGAATTGCTCGTTATACAGCCATGTCGTTTTGTTGATGTGGCGAAGTTGGGGGTGGAGAGTGTTGGAGGGGGTGGAGAGTGTTGCAAATGCAACCCGTTCTCGCAAATTCGTAAAGTCAATATTGACTTATTAACTACGTGCATAGGTGATATACTAAACATAATAGATACCCTTAAAAAGATTCATAGAAAACACCGACCTTACCTAACCTTGTTAGTATCTTAAGATAAGCATCTTATTGCTTCGTAATTACAATTATTACTTAACCTATACCTATTATAGGTTAGGTAATAATGATGGGGTGGACATGGGGCTGACCACCATATAGTGTCCTCCTCAACACATGCCCGCTGCGTTGCTCTTCGTGTCACTTGAGCGAATTATTCACCAAGGTACAATTAATGTTTAATTTACAGAAAGTCTTCCTGGGCCGTAACTGTGAAGGGTTCTCACCAGGTTCCGGCAGGACTTTTGGGATCAGCCGGGCTGTGCGGCACGTTGGTAGCAACAGGCTTGAAGATCAGTATAATATCACGAAGGCATGATTCCCATAGGTGCCATAACCGGCCACACGCAAGCTACATTTGCTTCTATCAGTGCTGATGCGTTTATATAGAGATGAATCTCATAATAGTGTTGGAGGAGACATTGAATGACACGATAGATTGGCCGCCTCCTGACCGGCCGTCCGGCCCCCCTAACCAGCCGTCCGCCCCCCTAACCGGCCGTCCGGCCCCCCTAACCGGCCGTCCGCCCCCCTAACCGGCCGTCCGCCCCCCTAACCGGCCGTCCGCCCCCCTAACCGGCCGTCCGCCCCCCTAACCGGCCGTCCGCCCCCCTAACCGGCCGTCCGCCCCCCTAACCGGCCGTCCGCCCCCCTAACCGGCCGTCCGGCCCCCTAACCGGCCGTCCGCCCCCCTAACCGGCCGTCCGGCCCCCTAACCGGCCGTCCGGCCCCTAACCGGCCGTCCGCCCCCTAACCGGCCGTCCGCCCCCCTAACCGGCCGTCCGGCCCCCTAACCGGCCGTCCGCCCCCCTAACCGGCCGTCCGGCCCCCTAACCGGCCGTCCGCCCCCCTAACCGGCCGTTCGGACCCCCTAACCGGCCGTTCGGACCCCCTAACCGGCCGTCCAGCCCGAGGCGGTCGCTGGTACCTGCAGCTGTGACGCCTCATTGATCTCTGGGATGCTGCTCATGCTCCTCCACACATTCTCTCTGTCCATTGTGTCTTGAGCTCATCAGCTGAGACTGCCTGCTACCAATGCCCGGATTCGCTGACTTGCTGCTCTTCTGCCTCCGCGTCTTCAAGGCGTTGCCATTTTGGGGATTTGAAGAAGTGTTGTTGACGTACAGGGCTTTCAACCCTTCCTTCGGCACGTGCAGCTGTCAACACGTTGTTCTCGTCTTCGCCACGTGAGAAACCATCCACCGTCAGTGCCGATCAACTCCTGCTGGACTCTCATTCTTGTCTTGAAAGGCGGTCATAAGAGGACGGTCTCGAAGTCTGGTCTTCCTCTTGTAGTTCAGCAACTTACAGCAAATAGGCTAATATTGGTTTGTGGGGGGGGGGGGGCAGTGGCAGGGTGTGGAGGGACAGTGACTAGGTGTGGGGGGACAGTGGCAGGGTGTGGGGGGCTTCCTGCCACTGTCCATCACACACCAGTGGCAGGGTGTGGAAGCACAAGAAAGTGGGTCCCCTAACGCAGATAGTGAGTGAGTGCGTGCGTGAGTGAGTTAGTGAATGAGATATTTTTGAGTGTGGTATGGCCATATTGTCGTAGACGGACATATGGATGAAAGTAACTGGGTGTAAATAGGACCTGTTTTGCAGGGATTTCAGTTTATAGTGCGTGGGAGGATGAGCGGCGGATGAGGAGGGATGGGACAGCACGCCATAACGTGGATGTTGAGACAAGGGAGAGAAGGGG